CGGAATATATTGATTGATTTATACACTTCAAGCATAGAATTCAAAATGAATCGAGAGGAAACATGAATTATGCATCATCATTAATATTCTATATTTCGCGCTTTGAATGTTTTAAGAGAATTCACCCATGCTTTTTCTGACTCGATTGTGTGAAATGTAAAATGGAATGACTAATGTACCGAAAAATCATGATACATTAATCGTTTATCAATAATTAATTTGAAATTTCAAAAATATTTTTCATTTATTTCATGTAACATCATTAAATATTTCGCGACGACATTGTCACGATATTCAATATTTTACATTTAATTTAACGTGTCAAATATTTCACGGTAACAATGAATGTACATATGCGCGTACGGTGACCATATTTTCTAAGAGAAAATAAAATATAAATTTGAAAATTTTAGGGTTTTGTTTCAACATGTTTCCAAATTACTTTGTGACCGAAATAAAGATCGACGAGCAAAAAAAATAATTCTACGATTATCAAGAATCTACGTCTAATATTTACCACAATAAAAATATTTATACGTATACGTAGTAAAATTAATCGAACATATTATATAGATATATAAGATTATAAGATATATAACATCTTATTTTGGTAGATTATTAATATTTCTTATTGTAGTAAATATATATATAAATCAGAAAAACTCATAAAATTCTTCCAATATCATATTGTCCCATGATTACCATGATTTTCAGGATAAATTCTAAGAGAAAATTCTCTCGGTGTAGTGTCGCGTGCCAATTCCGTAATTATCACCACTTGTTATCATTACTTTTTAAAATGTGATTACCCTTTATACAAACAATTGTTTTATTATTAAATTAGCAACGATTATTAGCTCGCAAAATTTATTAATTCCCACGATGCACGAGTATCGCGGTGACGATTTATCCGACTAACAAAAAGATACGACCAATATGTATAAATTGTTGATTAATAATAAATAATAATACATGCATTTCTCATTGGAAATGTACTATGTTTACAATATCGAATATTACACTTATTGTAAATATTGCATTTATATTTTCTGTCGATCCATTGCGACTTAATTAATCAATAAATCGACGCGATATTAGAAAGAGAAAGAGAGATCGCTGCAATTTAATATTTCATATTTTAAATTATTAACAAAAATGTCACGGATACAATATAGATCGATTCCGAATCAAGTAATATCGCGTCACGTTTATTTAGTGGAGATAAACATTAATAAATGATTATTTTATTATATAATAAATCATGTAAATTTACACATCGTTGTTAAAACGCGCACGTTTATTCAAAATCTATCGGCAAATCTGTATTTTCTTCAGAATATTGGCAAATATATTATGTCTCATGTTAATTTGTATAATTGTTCATTCGTTCCTTACATATGGTATAAAGAGAATAATAATGTACGTTATGTAAATTTGGCTGTGCATCGAGTTGAGCAGATCGTGGTTTTGCGTTATCCTCTTATCACGATTTACATAATAAAATGCGTATTGCGTGATTAATGTCGGTAGTGCCGTACAAAGCGTCGCGCAATTATATTCTGTTGATTATAGTGTGCGCACGTGATCGTAATTAAAAGTGTTTTTGCGAGTGAGAAGCAGCGAAAAATAAATAAGAGAGAAGGCCTCAGGAAAACACGTGTGCAAGGTGAGTAATTTAAAAATTATTTAATATTCAATTACTCGTGAAATTGTAATTGTTCACTTATCTTCTCGATGCGATTAAATCTTACGATTAGCTTTTGCACTTTTGATGCATTTATAGAATTAATGTGCGAAGTAATATAAAATTTAACGCGCGTGACATATGTAATTTGAATTAACACGTGTAAAATAATTCAGACTTTATTTAAAAATTTTTTAATATACTGTCATTTTGAGAATTAATAAAAATAAAACGCGCATAATAAAGCATATAAATTTTATATTGAAAGTTTTCGGAACTCTTTTGTTTTATTAAGAAAAAGATGTATTGTTGTTGTTTCAAACTCAACGAGGTAACATATAACCGTTGATTTATCGTTTTCCATTTGCGTAGCCCATTTTGTAAATGAATAAAATTTCAATTTAGAGTCCGAAGTGATATATGCTTTGAGTCAAACTGTTTCTATAATAAATGAATGATAAACGATATTGCAATACCAAATATATAATTCAAACTCCTCGAAATAATAGTGCAACTAATAAAAAAATATAGAATATATTATTTAAATAATTCAAAAAATTATATTAAACCGTAACTAAATTCACTAGATTTTAATTTTAACAATCTAGAGAGAAGTCTTTTCACATTCATTACGAACAATTTTAAATTAGTTTAGAGTGCAATTAGAATCATGTTGCAACTGAATCACTTATTTCGGGAACATTTATCCACGAATATAATCTTTAACAAAAAAATAAAAACTATTTTTTGAAATATAAAATAAAATTCCTCCATATTACATCAAAATGTTTGAGAAATTCTTTTTTAAATAGTAAAGATTTCTTTACACTTAATATTTATCTCTTATCATATACATATATCTTTGGTATATTCTGAAGAATAAAAATTTTTAAATATAATTTCCTTCCTTTTCCGAATCATAAACAATATATAATTTATATAAAATGTCATTTTAAGGTAAAGAGATAGAATTATTGCCAGATAACCACTGTCGAATAGTTCAATCTGGAAAAAGCAAATTGTAAAAACAGACAAGTGCTGTTCTTCCACTGAAAAAAAATTTGTTCATTTGGCTAAATCTTTCGATTAAATATAATTTTGTTAATTAAACATATAAAAATATTTAAATTAAATATAATATATTAAATTGAACAAAAATCATTTAATTGAAAGATTTAGTCATATCAATAAATTTTTTTGCAATGTGCGCAATAAGTGATTCAATGGTTATTTTCACGACAAAGTCTGCGCAATTTTAAAGTGCTATCACTAATGTAATGTCACATTCGTCGACGTGATTCATGGTCTGGTAGTAGCGGTTTTTTTACGAGCAATTCTAAGTGTTGTATCGATCTTTGTGTCAATGTGTAATTTGCATAGGAAACGACGGAGTAAATAAATATTTGCGCGTCCAAGAGAAAAAGATCCCCGCGAAGAAAAAAAAATAATACAAAAGTAGCGACAGTTTGACGTAACCGATAGTACGACTTCCGTTATCGTTCAAGGAAACGTCAGATCTATCTTCGCGCTCCTTCCCTTCGTGTCGATCGTTTACTAGATCTCACATTGTTGAGTTGCTGATTGATGAGCACCATCGATACGAGGACTTGCGAGAGGATTCCATCCCGTTGAATGATAAAAGGACGGAAAGGAGGGAATATCGGTTATAGGTATAATCGACCGTGTCTGAAAGCCGATTTGATGCGACGACATATAATGCATTATTTCCAGTTTCATTATGTCGGTGGACCGAACATTAACAAAGGAAGGAAGGGATATTCATGCGAGCTTGGAGCAATCAGTAATTTCCTAAAGGCTCTTTTCGGTTAATTTACGTTTATTAAAAATACATTTTTTTTCTCCCGGATAAAGGATATTGTAGTTGTCGAGAATTTAATTATCCATCATCGTAATATCGGATATAAGCAAAAATATATATTTGTGAGAAAGCTTTTTGTTGCAATATTACTCTTTCACTGTAAATATGAATACTATTCGATAAAATAAGTTTGAAATATTTGAAAAATTTATAAAAGAATATATCTTCTTACATGTGTACAATTTTAAATATTATCAGTTATTACACGCATTCTAACATTTCGTATTTCAAACTTTGAATTCACACATTGTAGTTTTTACAAATATTCAATAAATTAAAAGCAAAGTGGCACAAAGGATCGCGAATAATGCCAAATTTGCTACATATTTATAAATATCGTGAGAATATAAAGGATCGTTGCATGTAAATTATTTAAATTGTTGAAACAAATGTGAAAAGCTGACTTTTAACCGTATATTGATTGAACATTTTTATTACTTTTTTTTGCAATTATCTTTATCATAATTTTTGAAACTTCTAAATCCTTTTTCGAGTATTCTACATGTAAAAATGTGACTCACACAAAACCATTATTTAAAATGAAACAATATAGCTCAATTTTACATTACACAAACAGTACATAAAAGTTTGGACTAACTAACTTGCCTAGCTATACATATAAAGAGAATAGAATCAACATTATACACATATATATATATATATATTTCAACGCTATATATATGTATTTGTTTTTAGAAAAATAGAAAAATACCAAGTTATTTTCTTTCTTCGTCTACACATATTGAATACGTAATTATGTCCAGTCCTTGATATACTAGAAGCCATATGAGAAAATAAAAAAATATTATTATATAATATATTTATTTTTTTAATAGAATTTTTAAAATAATATAATAAAAAAATAATTTATATTACATATACGTTATATGTATATAAGTATAATATACATATAATATGAAGACCTTTTATATAACAGTCCAAGATTTAATTATATGTATATTTTGTTAATTTTTTTATTTTTACTTACTTATAATTTTTTTACTTTAATATTTTAACACAAATATAATTATTATCAATAATATAATTATTATTGCACTATAATATATATATATATATAATGCTGAATTTCTATCTCTTACGTTTCTCATATAAAAAATACTCTTTTATTTCGTACAAACTTGAAGTGCTATCGTGATAGTATATTGAATTTTCTATGAGAACTTTTCATTTCGTATTCTTTCGGAAAAAGATTATAAAATTGGAAGTTATTCGCATTTTGATAAGGATCGGCAACTCCTTCTTGTTCTTTGTATAGTGAACTCTAAATATTTTATATATTTCATCTGCACGTAAGCGAGAACAGGGGCGTGTACGTGCGCATATCGCGAAAAATTCAAATTCTACTATTTTTGAACATTTTGAACCTTTAAAACGTTACAAAAATACGAGACATTTCATAGATATTGACTTACTAACCTCGGTCTGTATCTCCATGATTGACGTTATTGACAGATTGCAAAAATGAAATACGTTGGAAATCTTTGCACCACACCAGACCTGAAACAATAAAAATAAATATTCAAAGACCAGACACGAAGAAAGCGTTGTTTTAAAAAATTCTCTATGCGATAGAGATTATTCATAAGACCACGTATTATTGCTACATGTCTAAAATACGAAAAAAAATATATGTAAAGAAAATATTTATTACATTTCTTCTCCTAAGAAAATTAAATATGATATATTACACATAAATTATAAATTATTTTTAATGCAAACATTTCTGACGGGAGAGAGAAAGAAATGAAAACCCGCTAAATGGTCGCTAAATTTGCAGTTTTTTTCTATACATATATATTCACGAAATATACGCTTTATATATTCACAAAATATGCTTCATTTTAATTCGAGCGATATCTAAATAGAGGAAACACGTGCGCGATAAAAAACAAGTTGACGGCGAACGTGAAGCATCTAATGACACCAGGCTGGAATGATAAATGTAGGCCGATAGTATATGTGGTCTATATATACGGGAAAAAGAGCGAACACGCATTACGTAAGCGTTCGTGTTCGTATAGTCTCACGGATTTATTTTGAGAGAACCGACTCCGAGGTCCGGACGACACTTCTTTCGAATTCGATATCGCGCAGTCCGTCCTAATTTTTCCCGGCGTTACGAAACCGAGCCGATATTTTCGCGTCGCAATTTTACGCCCGCGCAACTGTTTCCATTTACCAACCCTCTATATACGCGCGCCGGGACAAATCGATTCAATTTCCATTCTATTAAGATCAGCAGGTGGTAGAAGAGCGCTTTCCCGCTGAACGAAACTAATCGTAAGTCTTCGATGTGAAACCATTCTGCGCGATCTACCGCGAAGGTCAGGAACGCGATAGCTCGTCAATCGGCGTGAAATGGATCGCTCCTTTGACAACTATCAGCTGACGAGCTAATGGTCGAAGCTTATCGAGCTCGTAGACAACGCAAGATTAATCGACAGGACGGCAGCATTTTTCCCGAGAGAAAACTGTCGGAAAAAAGATTTGTTGCTCCGAAACTCGTATGATCTATGGTGTTTGTTCTGCTATCAAATCCGCTATTGTGAGAGTGACACTGAAAAAAAATGTGTTAACTTGGCTAAACCTTTTAACTAAATTATTATTTTGTTAATTGAACATATACAAATATTTTAATTAAATATAATATATCAAATTTAACAAAATCTACATATATATTACTTCAATAATCTAATATATGCTCAATTAACAAAATAGTAATTTAGTTGAAAGATTTAATTAACAATTTTTTTCATTTGATGAAAAGTAAAACACGTTACGCACAAAAATATTATAATTAATATAGATGTAATATAATACATTAAATCGGAATAAACAAATAAAAATATGATATAATTCAAAGATAACGCGAAGAAAAACATCGAGGAAAACGAAAAAAAGAATCACTTGATGGTTTTTAAAGAGTAAACGCGCAGCATTCAAAGAGCATATATACGTTTGTTATTTAACTCTGGAATACAGCTTAAAATGCAACTTTGCATATAATGTATATTTCTTGTAGCTGTTATTACGTATTCCGTTCACGTTTCCGAACGTTTGGTGTAGCTTCAAATTCGACGTTTATATACGCGAGGAATTGTGGTTCTCCTCGTGTCATCTGGCATTTGGCCAGCTTTCCTACGCATTAACGATGATCGTCCACGGTTTTCCGACATGCGAATATCTATCTCAATAACCGACGTATATCAACATCCTGTATCCTGTTGCACGATGATGCCTCACGACATTTCCGAATAAGATTGTATATATGACACGAGGACAGATTACGCGATACCCATCGAGAGTTTGCTCGCGCATTCGTTCTTCTCTGCTCGCGAAGCCATAAAATCCCCTTCATTCAATCGTTATTAAATTATCAGCCGTTGAACTTGTCTGATTAAAATTGCGAATACGCGACGCAATTCTGCGTTTGATTGTTGAAGCGTTTAAAATTTAAATTATCCCACCTCTATCCTTCTCTCTCTCTCTCTCTCTCATATGTATATGTATATTCAGAGAGACACAAAGTTTCGTCCACGTTATATTTTTAAAAATATTAAATTGGATGATTTTACGTTCCATTTCCGTTTGTTTGCGAGTTACGGATTTCGAAAAATCCAAAATACGCTCAACCAGTGCTCATACTCAAAATTCTCATTATTATTCCAAACGGCGATCAGTATCTCGAATTTCTCCATTTTGTCTGTGATATTTCCATCTCGTCTCCCGCCGTGTCAGAGTCGGCGTAGGTATGTTGATCGCGAAGAAAAAAAGAGAAAAGAAAGAGAAGTCTTATTTCAACGCGGTGGAGAATTCACATACAAGATCCGTCCTTTTTCTTTCTCTTCCTTTTCCGACCGCGCAAATCTCACGCTCCGCAAATCGCGGCCGCGCGTTGCATCTGGCATGTATCTCTGTGAAAATAGAATTTACGACGATGGCAGTTAGCCAACAAATCATTCCAGAGCCTAAGCGCGCCATCGCGGTCCATCGGTATTGATTTCTCCCTTCGCCGTCGGCCTCAAAAGTCCGCGGACTCGTAAACACGCAAATTAAGGGGGGCTTTATTAGAAAGAGCTAAAAATAAGCTATTTTTAGAGAATTTTTTAGAAAAAAACTGCACAGCGGATCATTCTAAAACTTTTAGGCATTTATTATTAAATATTTATTATATATTATTATTATATATTTATAAATACAAAAAAATTTTTTCTTAGTTAAAATTGTAGTCTGAGAGATCGCTCTATAAAAATATTCTTGCAATCTCATCGCCAGAGTTGCAAATTTGCGAATATTCTCATATCTCCAAATCTCGTCCAATAAAATAAAAAAAATATAAAATCGACAATATAGTGGAGCTTAGAACAAAATAGCAAAATTTTCAGATATATATTTTTTTTGTTTATTTATGCAAAAAAATTGTTTAAATTAATTTTTTTATTAATGTTAAAGGTTCATCATAATTTCATAAATAATAATAAAATTGTTCAACTCCGACGGTGCAAGAAGATTCCTCAAAGGCGACCTTCACAGTCTATATTTTTAACTAAAAAAAAATACTTATAAATATTTAATAATATAATAAATGTCTAAAAGTTTCGGAATAATTAACTGTAAAATTTTGGTAAAAAAGCAATCTTATTTTTGGATCCTCTAAAGCAGGCGCCTTCTTAAATTAGACATGCAGTTAGAAATTGCTCCGAAAAGGATCGGTCGGATATTTTCTTCGCGATCTCGAATATGTAAGTATCGTCCTTTGCTCGGCCTGTGATGTATAATGCATGTCATCCTGATGGTACCGTCATTGATGATGGTTCGCCCTATTCATATAAGATGAATATTGCGCTGTCACGCTTATTCCGATTTGCACGAACGGTGTCATCGACGGCTGATGCTACGTCGTTTCCTCTCCTTGAAGAAGGAGGCTTCCGTCGTAACGCGACTTCATCTTGTCGCGTTTGCTCAAAGTATTGCGCAGTTTATTTACAAAATGTCTCGCGCACGCGTAACGGATGCGCTTGTCAACTGGATTTTCAAAGGGAAAGGTAGCAAAGTAGGAAAAACAGCGATCGCATCATCGTTTATACCGGAGTCGATACTTATTCCAATTTATTCGAGATTCGCGGCAAGATTATGGGAGGGATTTTTTTTCCTTCTTTAGCGAACCGAGAGAGACTCGAAAAGGTATGGATTATTGTATATAAACATAGATATACTCAATCTTAATTTTATACCCGTCCGTCTCGACTCGGCTTTGTTTTAATCAGGAGATTATATAAATTGATTGATGCTGATTAAATGTAATTTATATACTTTCCCGCGTCATTTAACGATCGAGGTCGAAAACCTGCCACGTGCAAATTGCGGCCTCCTATAAAGCGGAAGGAAGGTCAGCTCCGAATTGGTCTAGTCTAGAATCTATGACCGCGACAATATCCGATGTACGTGTGCGTATATACATATATGTGTATGAATGCGCGCGCACGTCGGAGCACTCTACAACAATATGCTAACAAAAGCTACCCGTAGTCCGAACTAGTATATAACTAACCACACCGTGCGACGAGATCCTTTGAATTGACAATTACTAACTTGAAGCCCTATGGTGTTCGTTGACAAGATACGGGCGTTTCTAAGCATTCTATATACATATATAATATATGCATATATATATGGCCCGAAGGGGAATTGACGTTTAATTTCAATTAATATATACATGGTACCAAAAATTATTTAGCAATTTTTTAACATTCTAAATATATATATATATATATATATATATATATATATATATATATATATAATATTATACGTTATTATACACTGAAAAATATTTGTTGACTTGACTAAACCTTTCAATTAAATTACCATTTTGTTAATTGAACATATATGAGTATTTAAATAAAAAAAAAAAAATACGTTTCGTTAGATTTAATGTTATATTTGATTTAAATATTTTTGCATGTTCAGTTAGCAAAATAATATTTAGTTGAAAGCTTTAGTCAAGTTAATAATATTTTTCAGTATACATGTATACATATATATATATAATATATACAATTTTATAATAATAATAAATAAATATATAGAAATTAAAAAATGTTACATATATTATTTACTATAATGAAACATTTCAGTCCCACTTCGGACCATCTTCAATAAATTAAAGTAGACGAAATAAAAAAATAATAGTGTTTATACTATAGATACGTGGAATTCCGGAATCCTCCATAAACTCCCATTAGAGACCTTTCTTAAGGATTTCCGCCGTCAAGATGCAGAATGCAATTGTAATGCAATCCATCTCAAGAGAAACGCAGAGGCATGCGGGCAAACCACGAGAATGAAACACATTTGTCAAAAGAAGCATTATATAAATGATATAATGATATTATATATGTACAATATATATTTCTACGCATTAACTCCAAAGCTAGTTTCAATAGCTGGTAGCAGCAATTCTAGCAATTAAATGTCGCGTGTTCTCTATAAGAAAA